ATGTTAATATGTATGAAACATGTTGCCTAATTTTACATACGAGGAAACACTTGAGATATAAAGTAATGGAAATCATCAACCTTAATAGGAAAAAATATATTACAAAGTATATCAAATTACACAAAACACAAAAACATGTGAATGAGAGCACTCGACAATAATTTAATCTAGCCACAAATATCATGAATGCGATCAAATAAAAAACATTATAATCTCCGGATCAATCAAATAGCCTGAGCTCTATAATGGAATTTTCTTTTCTTTTGATATTGTTGTACAATCTAGTTCTTGGAAGGTGGTGGAGCAAAGAAAGGAATATTGGGAAGAGTTGTTGGAAAGTTAGGGATGGTAGGCATAGAAGGCAATGGAGGCAAGGAAACTTTGGGCATGTTAGGGATGCTGGGTATTTGTGGTAGTGGCAGTGTGGGGATGGTGGGCATTTGTGGTTGTGGCATTGTCGGGATTGTTGTATCTGTGCTGTGGCATTGTCGGGATTGTTGGTATCTGTGGTTGTGGTAGTGTCGGAATGTGGTTGCTTGCAGCAAATTGCGGGAAGCAAAACACATCTCATTTGTTGTAATTGAGAATAGTGCAATTGCAAAAATGTAAAGGTAGGAGGTGGAAGCCATTGTAGGATTTTTTTTGAGTTGCTAAAGATGAGTCAAAAGATTCTGAGAGGTGATCGAAGATTAATGAAGTTGATTAATTTGTGAAAAATAATGTACAAGGGAGCAAGTATATATAGGTAATGCACAGTGATAATGAATGATCAATAAATAATTAACGTGTCTTGAGTTTTGTTGAGACTTACATTAATTAGGTTGGTTGGTATGAAGATATCCAAGGCATGTAATGTTGTTAAACAACTTTCTGATAAGAAGAAATTGTTTATTAATCCTCCAATAGTAGGTAAGCTGTTTTGCCACATAATATCGAGAGTTTTCCTTTTAAGAAATTAATGAAAAAAAAAAAAAAAAAAAATTCACTCACAATTTCTTGTCAATGGTTTCCTCAACGGCCCAGATCTTGTATCTAAATTTGCTGCATCAATGGCCCTCAAACACCCACAAAATATCGATTATTCTGTTCAACTATTGGACCAATGTGAGAATCCCTCCGTCTTTGCTTTAAACTCTCTAATCAGAGTTTACTCCAAGAGCTCAACTCCTGAAAAAGGATTCGATTTCTATAGAAGAATTGTAAAATCGAATCATAAACCTGATAATTACTTGTTTACGTTCTAGATCAATTCTGCTGCACAGTTAGTGGATAAGAATTTTGTTTTGGCTGTACATGGGACTGCTTTGAAATACGCCTTGGATCAATACCCACATGTTCAAAGCGGGTTGAGTAATTTGTACGCTGAAATGGATCTCTTAGGGACTTAAAAGATATGTTTTTTAGCATCCACAACCCAGATTTGGTAACTCAGACAACAATGGTGGTCGCCTGTTCAAAGTTAGGAGATATCAAATTCACACGCCAACCGTTTGAAATAATGCTCGACCGAGATGTGATTGCCTGGAACGCAATGAAAGCAGGGTACGTGCGTTTCGGGGAGCCTTTAAACGGACTCGAACTGTTTAACGCAATGGAAATGAAAGGTTTGAAGGTTAATGTGTTATCTGCATGCACTCGGTTAAGTGCTTTAGATGCGGGACAACGGGCATATAGATATACAAAGTATAAAAAACTACAAATCAACACAACTCTTGGTAGTGCACTAGTCCATATGTACGCAAAGTGTGGGGTTATTAACACGCAATGAATGTTGTTGGGGTGATGAAAGAAAAGAACGTTTACACATGGAGTGGTGCCGTGGGAGGACTAGCGATGCATGGTTATGGTAAAGAGTATCTTGACATTTTTTCCGTTATGCAACAAGAAAACATCGCACCAAAGGAGGACACTTTCCTTTCAATCTTAAAGGCTTGTAGTGTAGCGGGTCTTGTTGAAGATGGTTGGAAGCATTCTGAATCTATGACCAAAGAGTAGAGCATTATGGATGTATGGTTGATTTATACGGCCGATTGAACCGTTTGGATGAATCATTACGCTTCATCCAGAGTATGACATGTGCACCGATTGCTAAAGCATGGGGTGCACTGCTAAATGCCAACAAGATTTATAAAAATGTGGTAATGGCTAAACTTGCGTCTAGAAAGATGGTGGAATTAGATGCTAACAATATATGGAGTAGTGAATGTTTTTGCGGATTTCAAGAATTTCAATGGTGTTGATGGCGTGAGGCATAAAATGAAGTCAAAAGGTGTTGTGAAGATCCATGTTGTTATCGTTATCGATAGTTAAGTTAAACATGTTCAACTATGTTGAACTGGTATTTAACTTTGTTTTGACTTTTTAACAATGGTTTCATTTTGAAAAGTATTTAAGCATTCATTGCATGTTTTTGTAATTCTTGCAATTTTAATGGGTATTTTAGTTCTTGCCATTTCAATGCATTTTTTTTCTCGTAATTTTTTAGTTTTCATGCATTTTTTTTTGTAAGTTTTATACAACATTTAGTTTATTTCTTTTAAAAAAAATCAATTTATAAATTTGTACCACTTAATACTCAATAATTTTTAAAACTATTATAATGTATTGAAAAAAATTGTTTTTATTATAAAAAAATCAAACCAAGCACATTAGATCAAACAAAAGGAATCTAATAAAACAGAAACAATACCAAGCCTTTACAATTATCTCAACTATATTTATTTTGGAGAAATTAAATATACTCCTACCTTTTATTTCTACCTATTTAAAATTGTGACAACTGTACAAATTTAACATCTCAATCTAATTTAAATTAAATTGAATGACACATGTTACCACCTAAATAGGTATGAAGATAGTAGTGATGGGACTCGATTTATGGACCGGTTCAGAATTGGACTAACCCGGACTATGTTCAACTCTGGTTATTACAAGGTTACGACCCAAAATCATGTACACATATGAACATAGTATACGAACTTCTCTACATAACTTGCACACATGGTTCATTAGTTTTACTTCCGACACGACATACTTTAATTATGTAAATCTTGTCACCCATGAGACGTAACAAGATTTCACATAAGTGCAAAGAAAAATAAAATTTTCTATCTAGACATAGATTTGTAACTTTTGAATTATTTACCAATAATAATAGTTAATGGTTTTAAAATGACTAATTGATGATCTTTCATATTTTTTTAATAGTAATAATTAGTTTAAAGATAATTCACAATAATAATAATTAATAGTAACATAAAACCATACTACATTTTTAACTTACAAACAATGGTTAGTATTTTAGTTCTTGCCATTTCAATGCATTTTTTTCGTAATTTTTTTAAGTTTCCATGCATTTTTTGTAAGTTTTATAAAACATTTAGTTTATTTCTTTAAAAAAATCTTTTTATAAATTTGTACCACTTAATGCTAAATAATTTTTAAAAGTATTATAAGGTATTAAAAAAATTGTTTTTATCATAAAAAAAAAAATCAGTTGAAGCACATTAGATCCGACAAAAGGAATCTAATAAAACCGAAATGGTACCAGGCCTTTACAATTGCCTCAACTATATTTATTAGAGAGAAATTAAATATCCTCCTACCTTTTATTTCTACCTATTTAAGATTGTCACAAGTGTACAAATTTAACATCTTAATGTAATCTAAATTAAATTGAATGACACATGTCACCACCTAAATAGGTATGAAGATACTAGTGATGGGACCCGATTTATGGACCGGTTTAGAATCGGATTAACACGGATTATGTTCAACTCTTGTTATTACAAGGTTACGACCCAAATCATGTACATATCTGAACATAGTATACGAACTCCCCTTCACAAAACTTGCATACATGGTTCACTAGTTTTACTTCTCACACAACATCCTTTAATTATGTAAATCTTGTCAACCATAAAACGTAACAAGATTTCACATAAGTGTAATGAAAAATAAATTTTTCTACCTAGACATAGATTTGTAACTTTTGAATTATTTACTAATAATAATAGTTAATGGTTTTAAAATAACTAATGGATGATCATTCATAACTATTTAATAGTAATAACTAGTTTAAAATTAGTGCACAATAATAATAATTAATAATAACATAAAATCATAATACATTTTTTCAACTTACAAACAATGGTTAGTATTTTAGAATATTATCATAATTGAAATTTAAAATGGACCAAATAAGTAAAATTTGGATTAAATAATCATGACAATAGTAAAAAATGTAACATTAAATTGAGAATTAAATTTAATTTTATTCACACCCAATATGAAGGTGGAAGCCATGATCGATGTGATTTTAATATGTGTTGCACTACTAGAAACATAAGTATTGGCGACGAACATTTCTGTCGGGAAATCCGTTGCTAAAGCCATTAGTTATAAATCAATGACGGATACAGATGAAAAAACCTTAGTAGCTAATGGGTAGCGACGGATCAACAAGTGATTCGGCTATCACGGAAGACTTTTGGATTAAGTACATTTTGTCAAAGATCCGTCGCTAATTGTCGTCGCTTATCCGTTGTTGATTATTTGTAAATGAACAATATTTCTATATATTTAATCATTGTTACTAATGTAATTAGCAATGGTCTATTAGTTGTTGAATCTACCATTAATCCGTACCCAAATGTCACAAATGAAATTCCGGATTAACAAAGAAATAATAACCATGTTTACACCAAATTAAACATCATGTCGTATCATTTTATTAATAATAACATACTTTCAAATCAAATAAAAAACTAGCAACATACTTTCAACTTAAATAAAAAACTAGCAACAATTAATAGCAACGTACAATTTACACAATTTGTAAAAGTTTTTGTTTCTATCCTTATAATATATTTGTGATAATCATGCACTATCGTTTTGATTATTTCAATAAGAGTAGTAGAATGCTTTATGGTCATCAGAAGTTGTGGTTGTGAAGACCTAAGTAAATGTTCCCATAATTATAAATTGTATGAAAATGCTATACTAAAAAAATAAAAAAAAAAAACATTGGGAAATTTTAATACCATAAACATACTTTTCCATCCACTTTTGACGTTAGTGACAAACCAAACAATCATATGGTAGTGGCTGTAAAAGAACGAAAAAAGTAAATGTTTTATATAGTAAAAGCACATGTTAAGAAGGTAATGAACATCAAAAAGAGTTATAGTTAAGGCTATTTTTTTCCACATTAAATGCTTTAAATATTTAGTGTTTAATTGATGTTTAAAAACACTTGAGAAGATGGAAGATATAAAAATACAAGACTTGTTGTTGATTGCCATATTTGCTTCCTAAAATCATATCACAAACATCAAAATTAGAGCTGAAAAGTTATAATCCAAATATGGATAATGGCAACTTCATGAATATATGAGAAATTAATTGAAAGAACTAAATTATAAAGGCTAAAAGGTCATAATCCAAATATGAATAGTAGCACTATGTAATATACCTACTAAAGTAGTTTGATATCTTTCAAACTTGTAGGTATGGGAAACATAATAACAACTTCACGCACTCCTTGGAAAATGCATTAACTTTTCATTTAAATATGTAACCGAATTGTTTGGCATATCAATCTGTTAGGTTATAAATTTAAGAATTAAAATACAAATATTTTTTCCAGTTATGAGTTAGTAAAAAAAGAATTGCATAAAATCTAGGGTTTTTGTATAATATTACTTATGTGAACTTACCTTGAAATACTTATTTCATTATCTACACATGGGTGGTTACCAATGTTTCAACTCTTAGTACACATACAGAGTGGCGGATCCAAGATTAAAGTAAAAGGCTATACCCAAAAATTTTCCTTGGCTACCTCGAGAACCACCTAGATATGCTTATGGTAGTACACCTGTCTTGTTCATAAGCCTTGTACTCTTTTCCCCTTCCCCTCACCTTCTATATCCATAACTGGTTATAGGCTCCAACCAACACACCTTTACTTTGGATCCATATAACATTGAGCATAGTCAGAACAAAACATAGATAACATCAAAGACACATACAAACTCTACTTAGTTCACCTCTTTTGAGTATGGTTAAAACCTGATGGTTTTGAGCACTACCTCAATCCTATGGTGTACATGCGAACCCCAAAGCTTTGGATCTAGTTTGTCTAATGAACATGCAATAATCATCCAAAGCTCATAAACCCTAATTCTAGCATAGAATAATCGAAATGACAAAAGAATATAGTTTAGATCTTACCTTGATTGTTATGTAGCAATAACAAACTAAATTCCTTTTGATCTTGACCTTTGACAGCTTAGTGCCTCAAATGTTGCACCTCTAATGGATTCACAAACACCATGAGCAACAAGATGACCTAGGAGAAGGAGGAGGAGCACCAAAAACTTCCAAGAACCCTTAGGGAATACTTCACCACATTTTTGGGGCCTTAGGGGTTCCTTATATAGGTAGGCTATTAGGGTTTTGAACTAGGAAACCCTAATTTGACTGCTTAGGCCCTAAGCAGCCCATGAACTCCCTCCTTAGAGGCCTTGGACGAATTCTTATGAGTTTCCCTATAGATTTCGTCCACTCCAACTTCTATGGAGTCCGTTAGCCCATTTATGCAACTGTCTTATAATTACACATTCAGTCCCCTTTATTTAATTAATATCTTTTAGCCAAAAAATTAATTATTATTAATTCTTAACTAATATTAATTAAACACTATGATTTCTCTTTTAATATATTATTCATATAATATATTAATAAATTATAATTAATCCTTTTTCTCCTTACTTCATCCTATCAGCTGTTATGTTGAAGGCAACCCAAAAGGACCATGCTCACAATCGGGTCAAGTACATACCAAAATATTTATGGGCTTAGACACCTAATCCAACAGCCTCCCACGTGGACAAGTCTAATAACTATATTGCATATGACTTCGAAACCTAATCAGCAATCGTAGCTTTCAAAAGCCGCTGTCGAACTCTGATCATATCAGAAACATGTCCTTTAGATGAAGGATGATATATTCCTCCATTCCAGATATCATATGAACTGAGACATGGATTTTAATCATACTCTCTGTTCATGTGTTGTTTCCTGATTTCCGATTTATGACGACTGACAACACACTATAATTGAACACATCAACTTAGTCCGGCTTGGCCAAGCGCTTAGGGTGTCATCACTAAATCATCGAGTTGCCCACATATATCGCTTTTATCCTACTTTGGGTAAAAGGAACAGATAAACTTGGACTCAATGCTCGCTTGTACCTACTCATCAAATCACACACAACAATATGTTTTATAACACCAAGTTACTGGTGCGTTTGCATATTATCAATGTGCGACCGAATAACATAATACAATTCACACGTCTCGGTTTCAAGAATCTAGGATATTATCGTCTCACGAATCACGCGTGATAAAATCCATGAAGCGATCCAAGTGAGCGTGGATTTAGTCCAATACTCTAATCTTATAGGAGCACTCTGCAACAAACTTTTGCAATGTCTAAGACACTTTAAACAATCTACAGTCAGGTTCATGATAGTCTTCTTTCATACATACTTCCAAAGTATGACGAACTGTGGATGGTTTGAATAATCTTATTTTTCGGGAAGTCAAAAACATGCAAGGTGAAACACAAGAATAATACTAATCCCATATGGTCCTAAACTTTTGAGTATAAAAAAACTCATTTTCTATCATTTATATTATTTTAAAATATATTATCAAAATGGTCATTGTGGTTTACCAAATGTCACGAATTCAGTCATTTTATACTTGAAAAGACGAAAATGTCATTACCTGAATACAAACAGAGTTAGTAAAATGGCTATCTATGCAAGTTTTGCAAACCACAATGACCATTTGCATAAAAAAATTAACAGTGACTGACTTTGTGACATTTAACAAACCATAGGGACTATTTTTGTAATTTAGTCTAAAAACTATAGTATTAACATAAAATGATAAGTAAAATTACATTAATTAACTCTACATAATGGTATATATCTTAAAAAAGCTTCATAATCAAACTTAAAAATAACCAAATACATAAGCTTTTACTAATTAATAATAACAAGAGTTAAAAAGTTAACATTAAATCTAAACATAAAATTTTACTTTATTTTCACTCAAACCATGGATTGAAGCCATTGATTAATGTGATTGTAACATATATATTTGTTTTAAAATATATACTTCACCTTATTATAAGATTTTCATTATTTTACAGTAAACGTAAAATGAAATAATTGTTTTTCATAACGTATATTTTTAATAATTTTTGTTATGTAATGTTAATATGTATGAAACATGTTGCCTAATTTTACATACGAGGAAACACTTGAGATATAAAGTAATGGAAATCATCAACCTTAATAGGAAAAATATATTACAAAGTATATCAAATTACACAAAACACAAAAACATGTGAATGAGAGCACTCGACAATAATTTAATCTAGCCACAAATATCATGAATGCGATCAAATAAAAAACATTATAATCTCCGGATCAATCAAATAGCCTGAGCTCTATAATGGAATTTTCTTTTCTTTTGATATTGTTGTACAATCTAGTTCTTGGAAGGTGGTGGAGCAAAGAAAGGAATATTGGGAAGAGTTGTTGGAAAGTTAGGGATGGTAGGCATAGAAGGCAATGGAGGCAAGGAAACTTTGGGCATGTTAGGGATGCTGGGTATTTGTGGTAGTGGCAGTGTGGGGATGGTGGGCATTTGTGGTTGTGGCATTGTCGGGATTGTTGGTATCTGTGGCTGTGGCATTGTCGGGATTGTTGGTATCTGTGGTTGTGGTAGTGTCGGGAATGTGGTTGCTTGCAGCAAATTGCGGGAAGCAAAACACATCTCATTTGTTGTAATTGAGAATAGTGCAATTGCAAAAATGTAAAGGTAGGAGGTGGAAGCCATTGTAGGATTTTTTTTGAGTTGCTAAAGATGAGTCAAAAGATTCTGAGAGGTGATCGAAGATTAATGAAGTTGATTAATTTGTGAAAAATAATGTACAAGGGAGCAAGTATATATAGGTAATGCACAGTGATAATGAATGATCAATAAATAATTAACGTGTCTTGAGTTTTGTTGAGACTTACATTAATTAGGTTGGTTGGTATGAAGATATCCAAGGCATGTAATGTTGTTAAACAACTTTCTGATAAGAAGAAATTGTTTATTAATCCTCCAATAGTAGGTAAGCTGTTTTGCCACATAATATCGAGAGTTTTCCTTTTAAGAAATTAATGAAAAAAAAAAAAAAAAAAATTCACTCACAATTTCTTGTCAATGGTTTCCTCAACGGCCCAGATCTTGTATCTAAATTTGCTGCATCAATGGCCCTCAAACACCCACAAAATATCGATTATTCTGTTCAACTATTGGACCAATGTGAGAATCCCTCCGTCTTTGCTTTAAACTCTCTAATCAGAGTTTACTCCAAGAGCTCAACTCCTGAAAAAGGATTCGATTTCTATAGAAGAATTGTAAAATCGAATCATAAACCTGATAATTACTTGTTTACGTTCTAGATCAATTCTGCTGCACAGTTAGTGGATAAGAATTTTGTTTTGGCTGTACATGGGACTGCTTTGAAATACGCCTTGGATCAATACCCACATGTTCAAAGCGGGTTGAGTAATTTGTACGCTGAAATGGGATCTCTTAGGGACTTAAAAGATATGTTTTTTAGCATCCACAACCCAGATTTGGTAACTCAGACAACAATGGTGGTCGCCTGTTCAAAGTTAGGAGATATCAAATTCACACGCCAACCGTTTGAAATAATGCTCGACCGAGATGTGATTGCCTGGAACGCAATGAAAGCAGGGTACGTGCGTTTCGGGGAGCCTTTAAACGGACTCGAACTGTTTAACGCAATGGAAATGAAAGGTTTGAAGGTTAATGTGTTATCTGCATGCACTCGGTTAAGTGCTTTAGATGCGGGACAACGGGCATATAGATATACAAAGTATAAAAAACTACAAATCAACACAACTCTTGGTAGTGCACTAGTCCATATGTACGCAAAGTGTGGGGTTATTAACACGCAATGAATGTTGTTGGGGTGATGAAAGAAAAGAACGTTTACACATGGAGTGGTGCCGTGGGAGGACTAGCGATGCATGGTTATGGTAAAGAGTATCTTGACATTTTTTCCGTTATGCAACAAGAAAACATCGCACCAAAGGAGGACACTTTCCTTTCAATCTTAAAGGCTTGTAGTGTAGCGGGTCTTGTTGAAGATGGTTGGAAGCATTCTGAATCTATGACCAAAGAGTAGAGCATTATGGATGTATGGTTGATTTATACGGCCGATTGAACCGTTTGGATGAATCATTACGCTTCATCCAGAGTATGACATGTGCACCGATTGCTAAAGCATGGGGTGCACTGCTAAATGCCAACAAGATTTATAAAAATGTGGTAATGGCTAAACTTGCGTCTAGAAAGATGGTGGAATTAGATGCTAACAATATATGGAGTAGTGAATGTTTTTGCGGATTTCAAGAATTTCAATGGTGTTGATGGCGTGAGGCATAAAATGAAGTCAAAAGGTGTTGTGAAGATCCATGTTGTTATCGTTATCGATAGTTAAGTTAAACATGTTCAACTATGTTGAACTGGTATTTAACTTTGTTTTGACTTTTTAACAATGGTTTCATTTTGAAAAGTATTTAAGCATTCATTGCATGTTTTTGTAATTCTTGCAATTTTAATGGGTATTTTAGTTCTTGCCATTTCAATGCATTTTTTTTCTCCTAATTTTTAGTTTCCATGCATTTTTTTTTGTAAGTTTTATACAACATTTAGTTTATTTCTTTTAAAAAAAATCAATTTATAAATTTGTACCACTTAATACTCAATAATTTTTAAAACTATTATAATGTATTGAAAAAAATTGTTTTTATTATAAAAAAATCAAACCAAGCACATTAGATCAAACAAAAGGAATCTAATAAAACAGAAACAATACCAAGCCTTTACAATTATCTCAACTATATTTATTTTGGAGAAATTAAATATACTCCTACCTTTTATTTCTACCTATTTAAAATTGTGACAACTGTACAAATTTAACATCTCAATCTAATTTAAATTAAATTGAATGACACATGTTACCACCTAAATAGGTATGAAGATAGTAGTGATGGGACTCGATTTATGGACCGGTTCAGAATTGGACTAACCCGGACTATGTTCAACTCTGGTTATTACAAGGTTACGACCCAAAATCATGTACACATATGAACATAGTATACGAACTTCTCTACATAACTTGCACACATGGTTCATTAGTTTTACTTCCGACACGACATACTTTAATTATGTAAATCTTGTCACCCATGAGACGTAACAAGATTTCACATAAGTGCAAAGAAAAATAAAATTTTCTATCTAGACATAGATTTGTAACTTTTGAATTATTTACCAATAATAATAGTTAATGGTTTTAAAATGACTAATTGATGATCTTTCATATTTTTTTAATAGTAATAATTAGTTTAAAGATAATTCACAATAATAATAATTAATAGTAACATAAAACCATACTACATTTTTAACTTACAAACAATGGTTAGTATTTTAGTTCTTGCCATTTCAATGCATTTTTTTCGTAATTTTTTTAAGTTTCCATGCATTTTTTTGTAAGTTTTATAAAACATTTAGTTTATTTCTTTAAAAAAAATCTTTTTATAAATTTGTACCACTTAATGCTAAATAATTTTTAAAAGTATTATAAGGTATTAAAAAAATTGTTTTTATCATAAAAAAAAAAATCAGTTGAAGCACATTAGATCCGACAAAAGGAATCTAATAAAACCGAAATGGTACCAGGCCTTTACAATTGCCTCAACTATATTTATTAGAGAGAAATTAAATATCCTCCTACCTTTTATTTCTACCTATTTAAGATTGTCACAAGTGTACAAATTTAACATCTTAATGTAATCTAAATTAAATTGAATGACACATGTCACCACCTAAATAGGTATGAAGATACTAGTGATGGGACCCGATTTATGGACCGGTTTAGAATCGGATTAACACGGATTATGTTCAACTCTTGTTATTACAAGGTTACGACCCAAATCATGTACATATCTGAACATAGTATACGAACTCCCCTTCACAAAACTTGCATACATGGTTCACTAGTTTTACTTCTCACACAACATCCTTTAATTATGTAAATCTTGTCAACCATAAAACGTAACAAGATTTCACATAAGTGTAATGAAAAATAAATTTTTCTACCTAGACATAGATTTGTAACTTTTGAATTATTTACTAATAATAATAGTTAATGGTTTTAAAATAACTAATGGATGATCATTCATAACTATTTAATAGTAATAACTAGTTTAAAATTAGTGCACAATAATAATAATTAATAATAACATAAAATCATAATACATTTTTTCAACTTACAAACAATGGTTAGTATTTTAGAATATTATCATAATTGAAATTTAAAATGGACCAAATAAGTAAAATTTGGATTAAATAATCATGACAATAGTAAAAAAATGTAACATTAAATTGAGAATTAAATTTAATTTTATTCACACCCAATATGAAGGTGGAAGCCATGATCGATGTGATTTTAATGTGTTGCACTACTAGAAACATAAGTATTGGCGACGAACATTTCTGTCGGGAAATCCGTTGCTAAAGCCATTAGTTATAAATCAATGACGGATACAGATGAAAAAACCTTAGTAGCTAATGGGTAGCGACGGATCAACAAGTGATTGGGCTATCACGGAAGACTTTTGGATTAAGTACATTTTGTCAAAGATCCGTCGCTAATTGTCGTCGCTTATCCGTTGTTGATTATTTGTAAATGAACAATATTTCTATATATTTAATCATTGTTACTAATGTAATTAGCAATGGTCTATTAGGTGTTGAATCTACCATTAATCCGTACCTAAATGTCACAAATGAAATTCCGGATTAACAAAGAAATAATAACCATGTTTACACCAAATTAAACATCATGTCGTATCATTTTATTAACAATAACATACTTTCAAATCAAATAAAAAACTAGCAACATACTTTCAACTTAAATAAAAAACTAGCAACAATTAATAGCAACGTACAATTTACACAATTTGTAAAAGTTTTTGTTTCTATCCTTATAATATATTTGTGATAATCATGCACTATCGTTTTGATTATTTCAATAAGAGTAGTGGAATGCTTTATGGTCATCAGAAGTTGTGGTTGTGAAGACCTAAGTAAATGTTCCCATAATTATAAATTGTATGAAAATGCTATACTAAAAAAATAAAAAAAAAAACATTGGGAAATTTCAATACCATAAACATACTTTTCCATCCACTTTTGACGTTAGTGACAAACCAAACAATCATATGGTAGTGGCTGTAAAAGAACGAAAAAAGTAAATGTTTTATATAGTAAAAGCACATGTTAAGAAGGTAATGAACATCATAAAGAGTTATAGTTAAGGCTATTTTTTTCCACATTAAATGCTTTAAATATTTAGTGTTTAATTGATGTTTAAAAACACTTGAGAAGATGGAAGATATAAAAATACAAGACTTGTTGTTGATTGCCATATTTGCTTCCTAAAATCATATCACAAACATCAAATTAGAGCTGAAAAGTTATAATCCAAATATGGATAATGGCAACTTCATGAATATATGAGAAATTAATTGAAAGAACTAAATTATAAAGGCTAAAAGGTCATAATCCAAATATGAATAGTAGCACTATGTAATATACCTACTAAAGTAGTTTGATATCTTTCAAACTTGTAGGCATGGGAAACATAATAACAACTTCACGCACTCCTTGGAAAATGCATTAACTTTTCATTTAAATATGTAACCGAATTGTTTGGCATATCAATCTGTTAGGTTATAAATTTAAGAATTAAAATACAAATATTTTTTCCAGTTATGAGTTAGTAAAAAAAGAATTGCATAAAATCTAGGGTTTTTGTATAATATTACTTATGTGAACTTACCTTGAAATACTTATTTCATTATCTACACATGGGTGGTTACCAATGTTTCAACTCTTAGTACACATACAGAGTGGCGGATCCAAGATTAAAGTAAAAGGCTATACCCAAAAATTTTCCTTGGCTACCTCGAGAACCACCTAGATATGCTTATGGTAGTACACCTGTCTTGTTCATAAGCCTTGTACTCTTTTCCCCTTCCCCTCACCTTCTATATCCATAACTGGTTATAGGCTCCAAACAACACACCTTTACTTTGGATCCATATAACATTGAGCATAGTTAGAACAAAACTTAGATAACATCAAAGACACATACAAACTCTACTTAGTTCACCTCTTTTGAGTATGGTTAAAACCTGATGGTTTTGAGCACTACCTCAATCCTATGGTGTACATGCGAACCCCAAAGCTTTGGATCTAGTTTGTCTAATGAACATGCAATAATCATCCAAAGCTCATAAACCCTAATTCTAGCATAGAATAATCGAAATTGACAAAAGAATATAGTTTAGATCTTACCTTGATTGTTATGTAGCAATAACAAACTAAATTCCTTTTGATCTTGACCTTTGACAGCTTAGTGCCTCAAATGTTGCACCTCTAATGGATTCACAAACACCATGAGCAACAAGATAACCTAGGAGAAGGAGGAGGAGCACCAAAAACTTCCAAGAACCCTTAGGGAATACTTCACCACATTTTTGGGGCCTTAGGGGTTCCTTATATAGGTAGGCTATTAGGGTTTTGAACTAGGAAACCCTAATTTGACTGCTTAGGCCCTAAGCAGCCCATGAACTCCCTCCTTAGAGGCCTTGGACGAATTCTTATGAGTTTCCCTATAGATTTCGTCCACTCCAACTTCTATGGAGTCCATTAGCCCATTTATGCAACTGTCTTATAATTACACATTCAGTCCCCTTTATTTAATTAATATCTTTTAGCCAAAAAATTAATTATTATTAATTCTTGACTAATATTAATTAAACACTATGATTTCTCTTTTAATATATTATTCATATAATATATTAATAAATCATAATTAATCCTTTTTCTCCTTACTTCATCCTATCAGCTGTTATGGTGAAGGCAACCCAAAAGGACCATGCTCACAATCGGGTCAAGTACATACCAAAATATTTATGGGCTTAGACACCTAATCCAACAGCCTCCCACGTGGACAAGTCTAATAACTATATTGCATATGACTTCGAAACCTAATCAGCAATCGTAGCTTTCAAAAGCCGCTGTCGAACTCTGATCATATCAGAAACATGTCCTTTA